TTTCTGGTTTAAATTGATGATCAGTCACGCCATGTACAGTACTGTACTGGGCTCGATTCAGAAATTTTTTTCGTTCTTTGAAGCTTCTTCGGGCTCATGATGTGAATCCACTTCATGTCCCCGGCATTATCGCCAATGGAGACGCTGGTCGATGGGTGTATTGGAGCGAAAATCTACCATCTGAAGTGTTGAAGGATTTTCGAAAGAGGCTGAGTGCGACTTTGAATGATGTCGCTCTGACTGCTGTTTCCCGGGGACTTCGAAAATACATGGAGCTCGTGTCCGAACGAGGTGAATAAATCCTTCGAACCTCTTTCAAAAATATTCTTGTCGAACTGGATTCCTGTATAGTGCGTGTTACTGAGAGCGTGGGATGAATTCCTGGCCAGGTGATTTCAACGAAGATTTTAATTTATAGGTCAGAGAAAGCTCGTATAGAGAAGAAAGAGTCTGGTGGTGAATATTAATTTTTCGTGTCAATTTTTCTGTGATGCTGTATTTGAAAGAATGTCTTCCAGTGGAGAAGAAGGATGAGACTCCATAATCGGTCTAATTGCATTTGCGATTTGATGAGATGTTGGAACGCAGCCTTTATTATTTTCTCATGAATGCCCCGCAAAATTTTTATTAAATCCTGGACAAGATGTATTTTCAGTCTAAAGAAAAAATATAATTTCTTGATGAAGCTGGAAAAGCCATGTTTTGATTTTTTGCATCAACAAAAAATTGAAAAGGAGGTTTACTCGAAACCATAGCTAATTAGCTAATTTTTGAGCGAAAACTCTACGTGGATGGAGGACACCGGGAATGCTTTCAAACACGAATGGAAACGAGAAATTTCGCAATTTTGGATTGCAAATAAATTGCACGAACTATTCTTTGCTGTTCACGCCACAGAAACTTCTAACAATCACGATGGCATATTTTTTAAAGCATGTGAATGTTTGACGAATTTAGAAAAACTGGTTATTTGAACGGTGTTCTACCAACGGAGAATTTTATTTTATCTCATTAGAATCATAATCAATTTATTCGTTCCCTTGGTTTTTTTCTTTCAAAGATACCTTTTGATAAACCGTGACTTCGAGCCGATTAGCTTATGTGTCGATATCATATTGGTCACTGAGATTTTTTTCAATTTTGTACAGTGCAGATGAATGATTCTACGTTTTTCAGGCCTGAAAAACTCATGGACTTTCAGTGCTTCGCAGCCCATTTCTCTGTGGGTGAGGGGACAAACCACAATCGGGAACTGCGTTAGCAATGTTGTTTCCCCGTTGCCGTTCGTCTTGAGAACTCATCCGTGGACGCAGCTGGAAGAAACAAGGAGCACCATGGACCAGATGCTGCGTTCTTCGTACCCATGGGCATCCTACATGATGCTCAAATTGTTTCATAACACTTACCCAAGGAGATTGATCCAGTTGCTCTCTTCCATGATGTCGGAAACGGCGACTGCTACTGTGACGAATGTTGTTTATTCACCCGACATGCCGGAGTTGATCAAGGATGTTGGCCTCATTGCATCTTTGGATCAGGGACAAGGTATTTTCTG